GTATTTCCTCAGCGACCAGCACGGATCAGCTCCAGGCATGACGAAGCAGATATCGTCCTCTTTTGGAAGGCCAAACAAAGTAGTTTCGCTTTCACAACGAAACACACAGGCGCCTTCACGACATGGCGGCGGCAACAACAATACTACAGCGAGAATAAAAGTTACGCCTTCTTTCTTTGCGTGAACATTTGGGCGGCGTTATGCAAATCTTCCCAGATAGTGACGTAGGTATGTGGGGGCGTGTTAGAACGAGCCGTTTTAGGTAGGTGTGGCTGACTCTTAACTTTTATAAAGAATATCTCTTTGGATTTGAGACTTTAGTCTTTGCAACTTTACAGATCTTCTTTATGCACCAAGAGCTTGTAACACTCCAAAGAGAAAGGAAAAATTGAAATCGCATCATATGACCCCTTTAATAAAAAAAGCATGTAAAACCAACATTCAGAAGTAACATATCACAGAAATAACTAAACTATTGGGTTTAGTTTTTAGTATCTGTATACAGTATATAGTCTAAAAAGCATAATATTAGCTATGTATTGGTTATCGTCCATTATATTTAGAATAACTATCATAACTCATGTTGGCCAGTAGATCTGCACATCTCTAATGCCAATAAATGATGAATGGAATTAGCAGTTTCAGATAAACTTCTGACAACTTTGGTACTTCTCAAAATATTACGCAAGCATCAGGACAGCAAAAGAAGAATTTAGCATGAAATGCACAAAATTTCATAGACATGTAATTACAGCATCACCTAGTGTCAACTTTTAGAACAAAGTTCTTCAAGAAGAGAAATTTGCTGTGAAATGTAGTAAATGATTTCCACTGATGTTAAGGTGTGTCATCTGATGCTTTAGGTACAGGAAGGTTTCTGGAGACAGCTGCAGTGGAGGAGATGTTGGAGCTCGGCTGGATGGAGAAATGCTGCCCTGTCCTGTGGGAGGTACAGTAAGATCCTCTTCAGCTTATACAATCATATTCTCTAATCTTTTATGTAACACAACACAATCCTATGGGATGCAACATGAAGTTGTGGAGTCAAAGTTCATAACACGGCCTCAAACTAATAAAAAAAAGACTTCACAAGACTAATAATGTTTGTGATACAAAAAAGGAATTATTTATTTTCTTTTACATTACATGCAAGTTTGTCTTTTTTTAATGCGCTACCGTTCAAAAGTGTCAGCTAGAAAATGAATCAAAAGTGACAGTAAAGATATTTACATGACCAAACGACAATACATGACCAAAAAAAGTCCTTTATATTAGATGGGATAGTTTAGTGGTACAGTCCTTGTTTAGTGTGAAATGTAAAACAGGTTTAAATCCTGACTTGAACCGTAAAATAAACCAAGCAAATTGCAACAGAACTGATTATAATGCATTATGTTGTATGATAAAGAACAGTTTTGACATTTTATTTCACAGGAAAAAAGTTGCAAGAATATGGAGCAAAATGAGGGAGGAGAAACAAGTCAAATATATTTATATTGCACATTTTAAAGCAAGTTGATAAAAATAATAATAATGCTGCAAAATGAAAATGTAAATGAATTAAATAACAAATACGATTTGTATACTTTTAAAATAAATTTATACTTTTATTAAGCAGGGACACATTAAATTGATCAAAAGTGACAGTAAAGATATTCATAATGTTACAGAAGCTTTCTATTTCAAATAAATGTTTTTTTTTTTTACCTTATATTCATGAAGGACTCCTGAAAAAAGTATCACCATTTTCACAAAGATGTCAAGCAGCACAACTGTTCATATTAGAATGATTTTCGAAGGATCATGTGACACTGAGGACTAGATTGATGGCTGCTTAAAATTCAGCTTTGCCATCATAGGAATAAAATGCATTTTAAAATAAATTCAAATAGAAAACGGCTATTTTAAGGTGGAATAATATTTAACAATATTACTGTTTTTACTGCACTTTTCATTGGAGAGCAGAAGAGACATCTTTCAAAAAAATCTTACCAACCCCACACTTTTGAACAGTAGTGTACATTTAATATGCTGAAGGTCTATATCTGTCGTTCATAGAATTTTAGCTTGCTCACTGATCATTGCATCGATTTGGATCTTTTGATCTTTATAGAAATGCCATTTACTCAAAAGAGTGGCATTCATCTAACCACAGCATTGAATGCAACATTCTGACCTGAACCTCTTTTAAGACACGTTGACATCGACATATTTTAAATGAGGCATAAATCTATCTTTAACTTGTTTTTTTTTTTTCCATTTTGGAGTTAGAACACTTTTTTTTACAGGTGGACTTAAAATGCTTATCACTGAAGATGTACTAACTGTATGCATATGCAAAATATATTTTAGATTAGACCTTTTCACTTCTCTTCTTGACTCTTTGACTTATGGGATCTCATTTTTACTAATAATTTCATGATTGTTTAATTGTTTGGTAGCAAAAAACACAATCAATCCTGTTTTTAACCCAATCAAAGGCACATTTGTTGGTTATTTAAAAAAGGATATTTGGAAATGCATTTTAGGACACAACGTGACATAAAAATCCCGGTAATGTCTACAATTGTGTCTGAATGTGTGTCTATAGTATAAGCATGAATGTGTAAAATACAGCAATGCCTCAACATGACCACGCTGAGATGACATGATGGACTGATTTCTACAATGAAAGCTGAATGTGTAATGTGGACAGTCAGTCCTTAAGATGGGATTTGAAAGTCAAATGAGGATTGTTGGGAGTGTGATCAAAGCCCATCTCCCCACCGAGCTGTTCTTAAGAGCCGTCGCTGTCTAGACTGCCTCTTCTCTTCAGCATTGTGGCACTCAGCCACTTGACCACACTTCAGTGGCCACATTGATTGTCTTGCTTCTCTGACTAGAGGACGCTGGGAGTAAATAAGCAGCCCTCTCAGAAGCTGAGATCTCATCCAGCGGGAGAAGGAAGTGATGTGACTCTCAGCCATGCCATCAGTTTTCTTTTACGATTTGCAGTGAAACAGAAAATGGAAAGCCTTTCCAGAAGGGTGCAAGCTGTTAGCAAGGAACAACTCCCTTTTAGTGCCAATGGTTTTGAAATTAAATGCTCACATGGGAGTGTTCGGGTGAAATATGTAGTGTATTTCTCTGGAATGAGTCTTTATTTCACCTCTTAACTAAGACCACTTGCCTACTTTTCTTTTTTAGAGAGTAATGAGTTTATCCTGTATGCGGTGAGGAGCTCCATTCACCGCTATGACCTGGCCACAGGTACAGACCAGCCGCTTCCACTCTCGGGTCTCCATGAAGCCGTGGCTCTGGATTTTGATTATGAGAAGAACTGCCTATACTGGGCTGATATTTCACTGGACACCATACAGGTGAATAAACGTCCTTCACTCACATAAATATAGGGATCTGTACCATATATTAGAGCTGCACGATTAATCGTTAAAAGATCGCGATCTCGATTCAAACATCCATGCAATCCCATTTTTAAATGACAATGATTCGCCTGTGTCTATTAAACCTTTGAAACAATCATACCGGAACATTCAAATCTATGTTCACTCTGCTGCTGACACAGAGAGCAGACATTTACCATGTTTGGGTAAGAAACAGCTTCACAAACAGTCTTTTCAACTACACAGAGACGATCCTCCCTATACGCAAAATACGCAAGCTGCGTAGGGCCCCCGAAACACGGCTCTCAAAGATGATTTAATTTAAATTTTGTTTTTAAATTTGGCCAGCAGTTATGAAAACATGAATGATTATTTCTTTTAATGCGGTGCGCTGTCGCCCTTTCTACGTAAAAATCAGTCAAATCATATAATGTGAATGTCGTACAGTCTTGCTCGAGACTAAAAAAACGAGTTGAAAGCGTACCGAGCTGCGGAAGAGACACTGTTTCTCAAGCGCTTTCCGCGAGCGCGATTCGAGACAGAGTGAAACACGGACAAATGCATTTCATTAATTCGTTCATAACCACTCATACCCCACTCCAACCCCCAACCCCCACCACATGTATTTGACATGGAATCATTCATTCAAGAGATTCGTTCAAAAACACTGATTCATCCAGTAATGAAATAAGTGAAGTATTTATGAGTGATTCATTGAATCATTCAGTCAAACCACTTTTTCATAATTTTAATATTAAAAATGGACGTATTAAATATATTATAATTTAAATATATATTAAAATGTTTATTAATTCATTCAAATTAATTAAACACAGAAATTTTTTGCAACAATAATTTTTTGTCACATTATTTTGTTTAGTTCAGAATCGTGAGAGAATCGTGATCTCTGTTTGAGACAAAAAAATTGTGATTCTCAATTTATCCAGAATTGTGCAGCTCTACCATATATATATACAGTGGGTACGGAAAGTATTCAGACCCCCTTAAATTTTTCACTCTTTGTTATATTGCAGCCATTTGCTAAAATCATTTAAGTTAATTTTTTTTCCGCAATATAACAAAGAGTGAAAAATTTAAGGGGGTCTGAATACTTTCCGTACCCACTGTATATAGGGGCTTTTTCACCCGTGGAACTTTTTCATAGTTCCTAGAACTATTGGCGGAAGTTTTCGTTTTTTTCGCGTTTTCGCACCGCAGGAACTAGGAACGTATTTAGTTCTAGGAACGTATCTAGTTCTAGTACGCTGATACATTCCATCTCCGTTATCATGAAACTCCGATCACGGCGTTGTCCATTCACAGATTGTTGATGTTTGTGAATGCCGCAAATAAATGTCGCTGTCGGCTGCTCCAGAGTTCCTGCTGCGAATGCAACCAGGAAAACGGCCCGAGGGAGAAATTGGTTCTCTAGGAACCACCCTTCTGGCTAGTTCCTAGAACTGAGTGCTTAGATGTACGTGGTGCGAAAGCGCCTTATAGTGACAAGAAAAGTATGTGAACCCATTGGAATTGGATTTCTGCTTTAGTTGGTTATAAAATGTCATCTGATCTGCATCGAAGTTACAAGTATGGACAAACATAATGTGCTTAAGCTAAAAATGCACAAAAAAAATTATAATATTTTATGTCTTTATTGAACACATCACATTAAAAATTCACAGTGCTGTGGAAAATTAAGTGAACTTTTAAGTGATCTGGTTGTCATTACCTGGATTAATCACAACTTTGTGGTCATGAGTTGTTCATGAGTACTTTGTTTGTCCTGAGCAGTTAAACTTCCCAGAAAAATCATCCTGGTCTTATACATTCTTTGTTTTTTACTAGAATATTCTGCATATTTGAACCCTTTTTGTTTTTTATTGTATTGGCTAATTTTGGATATTTTATTGGTGTTTGTTTGTTCACTTTCATTATAATGTTGTGATACCAAAAGCATCAGCAGTTAAATAATTTGAAAAACGTTAATTTTCTTTTCCTTTTATTTATTTATTTATTTTTATGAAAAATATTGTAAAAAATTATATCAAAAATCAGAAATGAAAAAAAAAAACTTTATTAGATTAGATAATTAAAAAATGTAACAACAACAACAATAATAATAATTATTGTTGTTGTTGTTGTTATTGTTACAATTTATTAGGCATTTATTAATTTTATAAGTATTTTCTTTGATTTTGTGTTGTAGAGACTGTGTTTGAATGGAAGCTCTGGACAGGAAGTGATTGTCAGAAAGGACTTACAAAACGTGGAGGCGCTGTCATTTGACCCCATCAGCCGGTTGCTGTATTGGGTGGATGCTGGTGCTCAGAAACTCGAGGTAACCACAGGTTAAAACAATTACAGCAGCATCAATTACAGTTGTTCGTTCCTGTAGTCATCCTCACACTGTCTCTCTTCCAGGTGTCCAACTCTGATGGAGACCTGAGACACACTCTGGTCAATTCTTCAGTGGTGGAGCAGCCTCGAGCCCTGACGCTCATGCCAGGAGAGAGGTGCGGTGTTCCCACAAATCACTTGTTTTCCTTAACAATCTGCATGCTCCCTTCACCCTGACCACTAAGTTGCTGTTTCTTTTAGCTTGATGTTTTGGACAGACTGGGGCGATCGTGCAGCAGGCATCTACCGCAGCTGGATGGACGGTTCCAACATCGCCTGCATTGTGTCTGAGGCAGTTCGCTGGCCCAACGGCATAACGGCTGATGAATCATGGCTGTACTGGACGGAGGCATATGGAGACCGCATTGAAAGAGCAGACTTTAATGGAAGCCGCCGTACTGTGATAATGGAGGGCCTGCCGCATCCTTATGCTATTGCTGTTTTTAAGGTAGGCCCAATGTTATCACTTCTTGGAATGTTACAACTAATATTAAACTGTCTTTAATGATCATAAACACTTTGTTGAACTGGTGTTTGTTGGTGTAGAATGACCTGTACTGGGATGACTGGTCTAGAATGGGAATCTTCAAAGCACCTAAATCAGGCTCACCAGACAGTGAGATGCTAGTGGGCAGACTGACAGGAGTGATGGATCTCAAGATCTTTTACAAGGGAAAAAACAGAGGTCAGTCCTTAAGGGAAGACATTCCTTCTGAAACACATGGGAAATACACCTTTAAAGACCATTATAGAGCTTGCAGGGCTTTTCTTTTTCCACTTGTCAGCTTGTATTGTATAAATTGAATGTTTAACATAATTATTTTCATAAACTAATTTTATTATTTATTGTTGTTATAATTATTAGTCATTTCTAAATATATAAATTTACACTATCATTGTAGTTCTTGCATTTTATTGGACAATAATTTGCATGCAAAGAATTTGCAATAGGGTTATTATTATCGTTAACCAAAACTAAAACCATAAAAAGCCTTTTCATTACTTGAGATATGATGAACGTTAACTGAAATAAAATAAAATACTTAATCGTAATGTTTTTTAATTGTAGCTAACTGCCAAGGCAGCAATTTTGTTTTTTAGTTTAAGTTTAAGTACTAAGATAATTCAAACTAAACTGAAACTAAAACGATATCCTAAAATAAAAAACATAATATCACTAAACCTTTAACTAAATAAAGCTAGTTTCAACTATTTTGAAATAAAATTCAAAATACTAACAAAAGATATAATAGTATATCAGTGATACTAAAATAATATTGGTGTAAGATGAGTCCTCTATATTTTTGGGGGGTTTTTTTACACAAGAATAGAGAAATACATTTTTAATGTGTGTATTTTTAGTAGTAAAAAAGCTAACGAACAAGCAATAAAAGCACAAAACTACAATATTGATTTCACGGGCTCAGCTTCATACAGTGGCCCCACTGGTTTACTTGGGATACAGAAATAGTTTTTAAAGATTTTTTTCCCTCTCCTTTAGGTCAGAATGCTTGTGTGGATCAGCCATGCAGTCTTCTGTGTCTTCCCCAGCCTGAAAACAAGCATCACTGTGTTTGCCCCGATGGAGTTTCCACCACCATTTTACCCTCAGGAGAGCATCAGTGCCAGTGTCCCGGTGGATACCAGCTCCGCAATAATACATGCGTTAAGACAGGTCTGACAGACTCAGAAGTGTCAGATATCAAAAGCTCTAAATGCTAAATAAACATTTTTATGAAATTGAAATGGATTTCTTTGCTTTAATTGACTCTCAGAACACACCTGCCTGCCAAACCAGCACCGCTGCACTAATGGGAAATGCATCAGCAGCATCTGGAAGTGTGACAGTGACAACGACTGCGGCGACATGAGTGATGAACAGGAGTGCCGTGAGTGACATCATCAGCCCTGTCTCGTATAAAATGTGTATGATCTGTGTTTCATATATTTTTCTCTCTGCAGCCACCACTTCCTGTGACTCTGCGGTCCAGTTCCGCTGTGTGGCCTCAGGGTCCTGCATTCCACTGGCCTTCAAGTGTGACCATGAGGATGACTGTGGAGATAACAGTGACGAGGAGCATTGTGGTATGTGTTTGTGTTTAGGGCTATGTGTCAAATATTCATTATATGTCTGAGATGATTTTGTTGGTGATATAAAATTAAGCAGTATCACAGTATTTTAATGCACTATTTAATTAATCTTTAAGTTTCCTAAAGAACACATCTCACAAATTGCAAATAAAAAGTTGACCGATGTTTTTTTTTTGAAGTTTCTCTGAATAAGTATTGTTATTGTTAACTAAAACTAAAATGGTAAAAATATTAATTTAATCCATTTTTGGCCTTTGCAACTAACTGAAATAAAATAAGTTTGTTGAGTGCTACATTTAATAAAAATGAGATAAAAGTAAATCAAAGATGAATAGAAATGTTTTTTTAAATGATAAAATTATAAAAATGAAAAATTATAATAAAAAAATCGAAAATGACAAAAGCACACGACAAAATTGCTAAAATGAAAATAATTTATTAGAAATATGAATAAATACAATGAGTATATAAATAATTCCAAAATAACACTGCTCTGAATTAAACTTAAGTAGCTAAATTTACTAAAAGTGAGATAAAAGTAAATCAAAGTTGAATAGAAATATATTTAAAAAAATGATACAATTATAAAAATGGTATGTTAATGGAAGAAATGTGAAGATAGTCATTTTTTATTAATATTGCTGTGTACATTGCTATGTATAAATGATCATATTACTGTATATAAATACAATTAATTAATATAATTTTTCTGTTCGTTAGTTGAAAACTGTGTCAGAGCGTGCCTTAATTATTTTTAACAAGATTTACTTTTTGCATTAAACATTTTGCATTTGCTTGGCAGCAGAGTGTTTTGTTGATATGGCATTTCCTTGGATTGAAAGAAAAATGACTTTTTTTAAAGCTATATTGTATTTGTTTTTAGTTCAGTTAAAGTAACATAAATGCAGTGCTCATGTTGTATCTGCTTTCTTTTAGAGTCTCACAAGTGTGGACCGGGGGAGTTCACCTGTGCAAGAGGTGTGTGTATTCGGGACGCGTGGCGCTGTGATGGAGACAACGACTGCAGGGACTGGTCAGACGAGGCCAACTGTACTGGTGAGAGAAAAGACACACATTTACACACCGGTGCAAGAAATATGCAGTGAAATACATCACACCTACATCTTCAATGTCTCTCTCGTCCTCATTCTGTCACATAAAGTGGGTCACCACACGTGTGAGAGCAGTAGTTTCCAGTGTCACACGGGTCACTGCATTCCTCAGCGCTGGGTGTGTGACGGAGATGACGACTGCCAGGATGGCTCCGATGAAGACCCAACCCAGTGTGGTCAGTCTCAAACACTGCCTTACTCCCCCTCATGGCATTTGACTTTTTTCTATGGAAGACCAAATGCATCAGCATCGGTTTCTCTAATCATGTTGCTCACTCGTGTATAATTCTGTGCAATTTGGCATCTTGCGGTTTTGTCCTTCAGGTAAAGAAAAGTGCAATGGCTTCTTGTGCTCTAATGGCACCTGTCTGCCTGCTAGTGCTCACTGCAATGGTGTGGAGGACTGTCCAGGAGGGGCTGATGAGCAAAACTGTGGTATTGCTTTTTATATAAAGGGTTAGTTCACCCAAAAATGAAAATTCTGTCATTATTTACTCACCCTCGTGTTGTTCGAAACCCGTAAGACCTTCGTTCATCTTCAGAACACAATTTAAGATATTTTTGATGAAATATGAGGGCTCTCTGACCCTCCCATAGACAGCAACGTAACTTTTTTGTTTTCTTTGTGCAAAAAAGTATTCTCGTAGCTTCGTAACTTTACAGTTGAACCACTGATGTCACACGGACTACTTTGTCGATCATCTTGGTACTTTTCTGGACCTTGAACGTGGTAGTTACCTTGCTGTCTATGGGCGGTTCAGAGAGCCCTCATATTTCATCAAAAATATCTTAAATTGTGTTCCGAAGATGAACGAAGGTCTTACGGGTTTGGAACAACACGAGGGTAATTAATGACAGAATTTTCATTTTTGGGTGAACTAACCCTTAAGTATATATAAGTGGAATGTTGTTTGTTGTGTTGTAATTGTAACTAGAGAAACAATAAGGGTCTGTTCTTGCAGGTCCCCTCTGTGCACACTATATGGAGTTTGTTTGCAGAAACCGAGCACAGTGTCTGTTCCAGTCTCTGGTGTGTGATGGTACACGGCACTGCTCCGATGGATCTGATGAGGACCCGAAGTATGCAGGCTGCTGTGAGTCCAACACATTTGCTAACTGAAATGTGAACGTTAGAATATGTTCACTAGAGGAACTAGCCAAAAGGACCATTATGTGCTTCTGACTAGGACTGTCCATGTAAATGTAGTGCAATTAATTACATTAATAAATAAAAATATCATAATGTACACATTTAGTTACGCCCCCTGACCTGAATGTTAATTCCTTAAGATATTCCTTAAGAAATTATTAAATCTAACGTAAATATACTATTCAGAAGTTTGGTTATATAATCATTTTAGAAAGAAGTCTCTTATTCTCTCCAGTGATGCATTTATTTAATCAAAAATACAGTAATATTGTGAAATATTATTACAAATTATAATAATTGTTTTCTGTTTTAATGTATTGTAAAATGTCATTTATTTCTGTGATGGCAAAGCTGAATTTTCAGCAGCCATTACTTCAGTCTTCAGTGCCACATGATCCTTTAGAAATCATTCTAATATGCTGATTTGGCACTCAAAAACATTTCTTATTATAATCAATGTTGTAATATTTTTTGTAATATTTTTGTGAAAAATATAATACATTTTTTTCAAGATTCTTTAATGACGAGAAAGTTCAAAAGAACATTTTTAACATTTTTACATTTTTAACTGTCATGTTTTATCAATTTAATGTTTATTATTTATTAATTTCTTATTTAGTATTTAGTTTATCTTATTTAGTATTCATTTCTTTAAAAAAATCTTACTGCACTTGTAATTTTGAATGGTAATTTAAAGAATAGATTATGTATTATTAGATTTCTTTTATAGTGTTTAAAAATTAAGCAATCAATGTATTCACCACTTTTTGCACCTATTGCTTTTCTGTTTTCTCATATGCTATACTTGTCTGCTGCCTTAATGTATTGTCTTTAATTCATAGTGTCATAATTTATTCATAATAGCTTCTCTGCAAAAATTGATGTATGGACTTACTTTCAACTTAATTTGATTAATTAATCGGCATATCATGTAATTAGATTTTTAATCAGTCTTAATTGACAGTCCTAAACGTGGACCTTGGATAAAGCACAAATGCAGTGTTTTGTAATGAACTGATTAGTTCTCCTCCTCCTCCACAGCAACTAACCCTGAGTTTGAGAAAACATGTGACGGCTACAGCTTCCAGTGTTCCAATGGAATGTGTGTGACCCTGGAGTGGAAGTGTGACGGCATGGACGACTGTGGCGACTACTCTGACGAGGCCAACTGTGGTGAGCAGGAGTTTTTGGCTATGCAAGACTACAGACTTCCAGTCAGAGCATTCAATAATAAGCTCCAGTCCAGTCATACTTGGGACGGCTTTGAGAAAGTTCTTTTTCTGTGCTTGTTTGCTAATGAGTTGTGTGCTTTCTTTTTCAGCGTCCCCGACCGATGAGCCGGGCTGCTCGCGTTACTTTCAGTATGAGTGTAAGAATGGCCGCTGTGTGCCCGCCTGGTGGAAGTGTGATGGGGAAAATGACTGCAGTGACTGGTCTGATGAATCTCAATGCTCAGGTATACAAATCAGTCCAGTACACTGTGTCCCAGTCAGCATCTATTAACCTTGTTTGTAGAGCGCTGACAAAAGAGAATGCTCAGTGGATTAATTACAGTTAATTATGTTGTGTCTGTGTTCAGATGGCAGAGCTCCTCACACACCTGCGCCGGGTCCAGCTACCTGTGCTCCTAATCGTTTCCTCTGTGGTTCTGGCGCGTGTATTGTGAACACCTGGGTGTGCGACGGCTACGCTGATTGTCCTGATGGCAGCGATGAAGTGGGCTGTCCCACAGGTGCTTCCTCTTCTCTTTTACTAGCCAATACTAGGGGTGTCAAACATATGATTTTTGAATGATTTCATTTATTAAGGGAAAAAATCTGTCCAAACCTGTCTGATCCTACGTGAAAAAGTAATTGCCCCCTAAATCTAATAACTGGTTGTGCCACCCTTGGCAGCAACAACTGCAATCAAGCGTTTGTGATAACTGGCAATGAGTCTTTCACATCACTGTGGAGGAATTTTGGCCCACACTTCTTTGCAAAATTGTTTTAATTCAGCTATATTGGAGGATTTTCGAGCATGAATGGACTGTTTAAGGTCATGCCACAGCATCTCTATCGGATTTAAGTCTGGACTTTGACTTGGCCACTCCAAAACCTTCATTTTGTTTTTCTTGAGCCATTCAGAGGTGAACTTGCTGGTGTGTTTGGGATCATTGTCCTGCTGCATAACCCAAGTGTGCTTGAGCTTGAGGTCACAAACTGATGGCCGGACATTCTCCTTCAGGATTTTCTGATAGCGTGCAGAATTCATGGTTCCATCAATTATGGCAAATCGTCCAGGTCCTGAAGCTGCAAAGCAGCCCCAGACCATCACACTACCACCAGCATGTTTGACTGTTGGTATGATGATCCTTTTATGAAATCCTGTGTTGTAACGGAACACACACTTTCCAAAAAGTTCAACTTTTTGTCTCATCAGTCCACAGAATATTTGCCCAAAAGTCTTGGGGATAATCAAGATATTTTTTGGCAAATGTGAGACGAGCCTTTGTGTTCTTTATGGTCAGCAATGACTTTTGCCTTGGAACTCTCCCATGGATGCCGTTTTGCCCTGTCTCTTCTTGTTGTTGAATCATGAACACTGACCTTAATTGAGGCAAGTGAGGCCTGCAGTTCTTTAGATGTTGTTCTGGGTTCTTTTATGGCCTCCTGGATGAGTCGTCGTTGCGCTCTTGGGAGTAATTTTGGTAGGCCGGCCACTCCTGGGAAGGTTCACCACTGTTTCAAGTTTTCTCCATTTGTGGATAATGGCTCTGACCGTGGTTCGCTGGAGTCCCAAAGCCTTAGAAATGGCTTTATAACCCTTTCTAGACTGATACATGTCAACTATTTTGTTTCTCAGCTGTTCTTGAATTTCTTCACAGTTCTTTCATGATTTAACAGGAGGGGGCAATTAATTTTTCACGTAGGGCCAGGTAGGTTTGGACAGCTTTTTTTTCCCTTAATAAATGAAATCATCATATAAAAAATGCAGTTTTTAATTACTTGCTGCTTTATCTTTGTGTAATATAAAATTGTTTGATGATCTGAATCTTTTAAGTGTGACAGATATGCAAAAAAAAAAAAAAATAGGAAGG